TTTTTTCTTAATTTTAGGTTTGGTCTCGTTGAGGCAAAATCTATTCCAATGACGCAGGTAGTGTTTATCGAATTCTCCAATTGGGTCTTCAAAACAGTCTTGGCAGTCGCAATCGAGATACCATGGACAGTATGCCGTGAAGGGGCATTTGAACTGCCAAACTCCTTTACCCTTTTTGACGAAATATTGGATCCAGTCATGTTCTTTCATGATAGTTTGTATATTCCAGAAGGGTTCTCTTTCAGGGTCAGGATCTGTATCTTTGGGTTGAATCATTTGGCAGGAAAATATGTTTTTATTGGGTTTTCTAAGATGGGTGTAACAACCCGACCGGTCATTTTGAGCTCTAGCATGTCGTTCGACGGTTTGAAACCTTGAGTAGCTTCACTTCAGGTATTATGACTTGTACGTGTGATCAGAATCGAATTTTGGGAAGTTCGGGATTGATTTGAAAAGAAAATTCTAATTCCGGAAGCTTTAAGTTGAAAGAATTGGTTAAGGTTTGAATTTTGAGTAACCGAACTCGGAATCAGGATTTGAATGTTCCAATAGATTAGTATGATGATTTCGGACTTGGGCGTATGTTTGGGTTGAGCATCGGATCACCAAGGAGAATTTCGACGTTTATTATGGAGAGTTACCATTTTGAAAGTTTAAGAATTTCCTAAGTTTGGTTTGGAGTGGGCTTTGGTGTTATCGATGTCCGTTTGGGATTTTGAACCTTTGGAATGGGTTCATATCGTGATTTGTGACCTATGCGCAATGTTTGGCGCCATTCCGAAATGTTTTGATATGAATCGGATGCGTTTGTCGACGTTAGAAAGTTAAAGAAGGATTTCGATCGTCGATTCGTAGTTTCGATGTTGTTTGGCGTGATTTGAGGCTTCAACTAAGTTCGTAAGGTGTTTTGGGATGCTTTGGTATATTTGGTCAACGTCCCGGGGGCCGAGGGTGGATTCTGAATGGTTAATGGATCGGATTTTGGACTTAAGGAGAAGCTGGTGGATTCTTGTTGCTGGTGAAACCACTTATGCGGAAGCTTCATCGCAGAAGCGGCCTCGCAGAAGTGAGGTAGTAGGCCGCAGAAGCGACTAGAAGGGGAGATGGGAGGAGGCCGTAAGTGAGAAGGAATTCCCGCACCCACGGGACCGCAGAAGTGTCCAAGGGGTCGCAGAAGTGGTAGGGAGTGAGGCAGGCTGGAGGCGCAGGTACGAGGTTTGTGCCGCACCTGCAAGACCGTAGAAGCGGACTCTTGGTCGCAGGTGCGACTCCGTAGATGCGAAGGCAAGGGGGCTGAAGGGGGACCACAGAAGTGGTATTTTGGGCAGTGGCCGCAGGTGCGAGAGGTCGCTGGGCAGTGTGTTCTTTTAAGAACGGGATTTGGCCCATTTTCTTCCATTTTTACTTGGTTGGGGCTATTTTGGAGAGCTTCAAGGGGAGATTTTCATCAAGTAATACAAGGTAAGTGATTCCCACCTATTACAAGTTAAATACATGGTTTGTATATGGATTTAAACATGAAAATTTGTAGAAACTTGGGATTTTGGTAGAAAACCTAGAATTTGGTATTTTTTGGATTTTGACCACGAGATTAGGCATGGAATTTGGAATAAGTTATATATTTTATTTCGTGGTGTTATGGGTAAAGTTTATCTACGGAATATTTCAAAATACGGGCACGTGGGCCCAAGGGTTGTCCTTGTTGGCTTTTGAGCGGAGTTGGGAATCATTTTAAAATTATTCGATTATACGTATTGGGGTATGTTTTGATTGGTTTGCATGTTGTTTGACTAGTTTTGAAGAGACGGGCATCGGGTTGAGGTGTTTGAGTGGCGTTGGAGCCGGTTATGGAACTTCCGAGCGAGGTAAGTCTCATGTCTAACCTTATGAGGGGAAACTACTCCCTAGGTGATATTTATTGTTATATGCAACTAGTCGTGTGTGCTACATACTCACGAGGTGACGATAGTCCATACGTAGCTAAAGCATGTTCATGTCCAGGCAGACTTAGGATCTTATCATGTAATATTTGAATTATTTGAACTCATTTGCTGGCTTAATTAATTGAAGTTATAAATGAAATTGATTTAGAAATAAATATATGTATACTAGGACAAGCCTTAACACTTTGAGTTGTGGGCGAGTTATTTGAAAAACAGTAAAGATTATATCTATTTTGTACTCATGTAATATATTGTAAACACGTGTCTCGTAATTCGGTAACTTTCTTCCTTTTCTTGTGGAGCGGGCTGAATGCCTTAGCAGTAAATAGATGCATCTATGGTTTGTGGCACTCGACCCTCGGCAATGTACACATTATTTTGGATCGGGCCGAATGACCTCGGCAGAATCGTGCGTTATATCGCGAGTAGTCCGAATATTTACGAGTTAATCTTTCCATTGATGCCCGGCGTTTTATACGATATTCCTTATTTATTTTATATCGACCCTTGACATTTTCTGAGCTGTTAAGGTAGAATACAAGATTTAGAAATTCATACTTTAAAAGAAATAATTGGAAGACTATGTAACTTACAGATTTACCCCATCATTATCGTATGCTTCATATCTGATTATGTTTCATTATATTGCTTTATTGGACCTTTAGTAAGTGTCGATATCGACCCCTCGTCACTACTTCTCCGGGGTTAGGCTAGGTACTTACTGGGTACGCGTTGATTTACGTACTCATGGTGCACTTCTGCACTAAATGTGCAGGATCTGACAGGTTCCTTTGATGATCACCTTGGCGCGTAGGCGCACCTGTTGAGGAGACTTTATGTGAGCTGCATTCCAGGCTACGCATCGCAGTCCACCGAGTCTCTAATGTTGTATTATTATTGTACTCCTTAGAAATTGCTCATGCACTTGTGACACCAGGCTTTGGGGATTCCTACGGGCTATTTGTTATTGTAGTTGTGTAAATTCCATTTCATATGATTTAATTAAGGAAATTATGATTTCAAAATACAAAAATGGGTAATTAAGTTGATCAATCACCGTTGGCTTGCCTGACAATGATGTTAGCCACCATCACGACCTTTAGTGGATTTTGGGTCATGACAGTTTGGTATCAGAGCGTTAGGTTCACTTAGGTCTCACGAGTCATGAGCAAGTCTAGTAGAGTCTTGCGGATCGGTACAGATACGTCTGTACATATCTTCGAGAGGCTACAGGGTTGTTAGGAGCACTTCCCTTCTTGATTTCCTCATCATGCGGTTTGATTCCATTGAGGCTTGTCCCTTTATTTCCTTCCTACTCAATCTTATGCGATGTGAAGCGCTTGTTGTCAATTGGACGTCCAGGAGTTGTATTAGTATTGTAGACGTGGTGCAGGATATTTTTCCCTGCGTGTTCGGTCAGGATTTTATCGTCGCCTAGCGGAAGGGTATTCTGTCGTTTTCGTTCAGTATCTATATTCTCTATGGTTTCGAGACTATGCTTGGATGGCTATGATGTCTTTAAGTTGTTATCACACAATGTTGGTGTAATGGTAGAGTGCTTATTTATGGATCACGGCAGTGAATGACTTGAAAGGAGGATTCCTCAGTGCATGATTTAGAGGTTCATCATTTAATTCATGGGTAAAACCATGATTTCTCCATTGTCTTGGAAAATCATCCGGGATTTGAAGGGTGATGAATTGTTCCTCTCTAGTTGCAAGAATAGGATGTTGGTCAAGTTTTGAGGCAACAACATATTCTTTCACTCCATTTGGTATGTGTTGGACTAAGGAACGAATTTGGGACCATGGTGCAAACGATATTTTGGCAAAACCTGAGTAAGGGTTTATGAGTGGGAGTTCAGTGAAGGTTACTTTCTATTTGTCGAGTAGGAAATCTACTTCACATAGGTAATCATATTTTTTTTACAAGGTTTTATATAGAGTGGGGGAAATATTCATTTTTGTAAGGGAAAAGGATGATGGAAATGACTCAGACATATTTAGTAAATTGTTCCTCCCTCCGAAAGGATGTGCTGGCTATGATATCACCATTTTGTATCATCCCGGGAAGGCCAATGTGGTGGCCGATGCCTTGAGTAGAAAGGTTGTGGGTATGGGTAGCCTTGTATATATTCTAGTTGGTGAGAGACCACTAGCATCAGGTGTTCAGGCTTTGGCCAATCAGTTTGCGAGTTTCGATGTTTCGGAGCCTAGCTGGGTTCTTACTTGTGTGGTTTCTTGGTCTTCCTTGTATGAGCGCATCAGAGCGCGTTAGTATGACAACTCCCATTTGCTTGTCCTTAAGGACATAATGCAACACAATGATGCCAATGATGTTTCTATTGGAGATGATGGGGTGTTGCGGATGCATGGTCGGATTTGTGTGCCCAATGTGAATGAGATGCATGAGTTGATTCTTGAGGAGGCTTACAATTCGCGGTATTCTATTCATCCAAGTGTCGCTAAGATGTATCAGGATTTGAGACAACACTACTGGTAGAGAAGAATTATGAACGATATAGTTGGGTTTGTTGCTAGGTGTTTGAACTGCCAGCAGGTGAAGTACGAACATCAGAGGCCGGGCGATTAGCTTCAGAGACTTGAGATTCCTGAGTGGAAGTGGGAGCGTACTACCATGGATTTCGTTGTTGGACTTCCATGAACATTGAAGAAATTTGACGAAGTGTGGGTTATTGTGGATATACTAACCAAGTCTGCACAAATCATTTCGGTTGTGACTACCTATTCATCAGAGTACCTAGCTCAGATCTATATTCGTGAGATTGTGTATCTTCATGGTGTGTCAGTGTCCATTATCTCCAATCAAGGCACGCAGTCCACATTGCAGTTTTGGAGAGCGGTGCAGCGAGAGTTAGGTACACGAGTTGAGTTGAGTACAACATTCCACCCCCACATGGACAGACAATCCTAGCGCACCATTCAAATCTCAGAGGATATGCTACGCACATGTGTTATGGATTTCAAGGGTTCATAGGATTAGTTCTTACCGCTTGCAGAGTTTGCCTACAACAACAGTTGTGAATCGAGTATCCAGATGGCTCCTTATGAGGGCTTATATGAGAGGCAGTGTCGTTCTTCAGTTGGTTGGTTTGAGCCGGGAGAGGCTAGGCTGTTGAGTACTAATTTGGTTCGAGATGCCTTGGAGAAAGTCAAGTTGGTTCAGGATTTGCTTCGCGCAGCACAGTCCAGACAAGAAATTTATGTTGATAGGAAGGTTCGTGATGTTGCATATATGGTGGGTGAGAAGGTGTTACTCATAGTTTTGCCCATGAAGGGTGTGATGAGGTTTGGAAGGAAGGGCAAGTTGAGCCATTGATATATTGGTCCTTTTGAGGTACTTGAGAGAATTGGAGAGGTGGCCTACAGACTTGCATTGCCACCTTAACTGTCGGTCCTTCACCCAGCGTTTCATATTTCTATGATCCAGAAGTATTGTGGTGATCCGTCACATGTTTTGGACTTCAGCACGGTTTAGTCAGATGGATATTTGACTTATGATGTGCAGTCGGTGATAATTTTGGACCGGCAGGTTTGAAAGTTAAGATCAAAGAATATAGAATCAGTGAAAGTTTGTTGGAGAGGTCTGCCGGTTGAGGAGGCTACTTGGGAGGATGAGAGGGAGATGCATAGCAGTTATCCAAACCTATTTGAGAGTTCAGTGATGATTCGATACATGTTCGAGGATGAACATTTGTTTAAGAGGGGGAGAATATAATGACTCGGCCGATCGTTTTGTGTATTGTAGCCCCGTTCCCCTATATATCGCTCCTTCTATGTTTATTTGTGGCTATGTGACTTGCCGGGGTGGTTGGATTTGTTTCGGGGAGGTTTCAGATTGAATTGGGACACTTAGTCCCAAAGTTGGAAGCTTAAGTTGAAATAGTTGACTGAAGTTTGACTTTTATGTAGACGATTCCGGAATGGAGTTTTGATGGTTCCGATAGATTCGTATGGTGATTTTGGACTTTGGCGTATATTTGGATATTGATTTGGAGGCTCATAGGTTGGTTTGAGGTTTTTTGGCGAAAGTTAGAATATTGAAGGTTTGGAAGGTTGAGAGGTTTGACTGAGAGTTTACTTTGTTGATACCGGGTTTGGATTTTGGTTCAAGGAGTTGGAATAGGCCTGTTGTGTCATTTGGTACTAGTGTGCATAATTTGAGGTCATTTAGAGTTGAATTGATATGGTTCAGCATTGGTTTTAGAAGTTGGAAGTTTATTAGTTTCATTAAGCTTGAATTGGGGTGCGATTCATGATTTTGATGATGTTTGATGTGATTTGAGGCTTTGACTAAGTTTGTGTTGTGTTTTAGGACTTGTTGGCATGATTGGTTGAGTTTTCGGGGGCTTCGGGTGTGTTACAGATGATTTTCAGACCTTTTTCTTCATGTTTGGTTAGCTGATCTGGTGTCTGGTGTGTGCTTCTTTGCGTTCGCAACAATGGGGTCGCACTCGTGGAGGAATATGGGTCGGTAGGCAGAATTCTCTTCACGTTCGCTATAAGGGGAACCCGTTCGTGAAGCTTTGGAGGTCAATGCCCTTCACAAACGCGAGATGGAGGATGCGTTCGCGTAGAAGGGAGGTCGGCTGAGGGGCACTGGGGCTTAAGCCTTCGCGTTCGCATAGGTATGGACTGATTGGCCATCGCGTTCGCGACTGGGTCTCCGTATTCTCGTAGGAGGATTTTGGCTGAAGGCGAAGTTGTGCTTCGCGAATGCGAGGCCTCTTCCGCGTTCGTGAAGGGTAAGCACATGGGCATCATATTATAGAGCCATTTCGAGGGTTAAAGTTGTTATATCATATTTTGAGTGGTAGAGCTAAATATTTGGCGATTTTAGAGGGGATTTTCACGTCTTGGATCGGGGTAAGTGTTTTTGATGCGTATTTCTTCAATTATTATGATTCCATCCATGTTTTTTTCATTTATTTGGTGATTTAGTGTAGAGAAATTGGGGATTTTGTAAAAACATTTCAAAAATGAAAAATGGAGATTTGAAGGTCGATTTCAAGTCGGAATTAGATGATTTTGGTATGGTTGGCTCGTAATCGAATTGGTGTTCGAAATTTGTGAATTTTGTCGGGTTCTGAGGTGCGGGCCCGGGGTTGGGTATTTTATTTTTATAAAGATCGAAAATTTATTGTTTGAAGTTGTTTCCTACGGCATTATTGTTGATATTGAGTTGTTTGTAACTAGATTTGAGTCGTTTGGAGGCCGATACACGTGGTAAGGGCTTGTTGGAGTATTGATTCGCGCATTGTGAGGTAAGTAACACATCTAAACTTGGATTTTAGGGTATTTAACCCTAAGAACTATGTTATATGAAAGATATTGGGGTGACTTACGCGCTAGGTAACGAGCATGTGTGCGTGCACCGATGTGTTCATGGTGGGGGAGGCCTTTAGGCTATTATCGGGCTTGTTTTGCTATCATATCTTGTTGTCCCCGTGTTACCTCTAATTGTTTGGTTATTTGAACTGTGATACATGTTAGACATCATATCTAGGCTATGTGCTAATTGTTTGAGACTTGATATGGGTATTCTTGCTATTTTTGAGTTATATACCTTATTTGCACACATGTTCTCAGTCACGATACTATATCCGTGTATGATATCTCTATCTCAGCACTTTTAATTGATTCCTCACTTGTTGTTGATACCGCTTAAGAGCAACACTATTAAACTGAGTATTTTATCATCAATGGAACCAGAAAAGGTTTTTTCACTTCATCTCAAGGACTAAAACAAGGAGATCCGCTGTCTCCTACTCTCTTTGTATTGGTAGCTGAGGTCCTTTCCAGAAGCCTAAATAACTTGCAACATAACAACAATTTTACTCCTTTCACGATGAACTCTCGGGGTCCTGTGGTAAGTCATTTGGCATATGCAGATGACATTGTGATATTTACTGCAGGAAACACTAGATCCATTAAGCTTGTTATGAAGGAGGTTAGGAAGTATGAAGCAATTTCAGGGCAAATGGTTAAGCAGGACAAAAGTTTCTTTTTGACAGATCCAAAGGTCTCCCCTTCTAGGATCAACAGAATAAGAACAACTACGGGGTTCTTGAACAAAGAATTTCCTTTCACCTATTTGGGTTGTCCTATCTTTGTCGGAAGGAAGAGAATTGTCTACTTCGATGGCCTTGTGGCTAAGATAGTAATGAAACTTAATGGATGGAAAGGCAAGTTACTATCGTATGGAGACAAACTAACTTTAGTTAAACATATTTTGCAGGCTATTCCAACTTATACTCTTGCAGCAATGAACCCTCCCAAGGCTACTTACAGAACTCTTGAGAAATACTTTGCTAATTTCTTCTGAGGTTCAAAAGACGACAAGATAAAATATCACTGGAGCTCTTGGGCTAGACTATGCTATCCTATAGATGAGGGGGGTATTGATATAAGGAGACTGGAGGATATTGCAGACATATTTGCTATCAAAAGATGGTGGAATTTCAGGACAAAGCAAAATTTGTGGACAGACTTCCATAGAGCAAAATATTGTTCTAGAGGACATCCCGTTTCCCTCAAAGGAACAACTAAACAATCTCACATTTGGAGGAAAATGATGCAAATAAGGGAGAAGGAAGAGTCTAACATTTTTTGGATGATAAACAAAGGAAGAATGCAGCTTTTGGTGGGACAATTGGACAGGTAAAGGGCCACTGGCAAATTACTTTCCATTTGTCACTCGATCTACAAAGCCGAAGGTTAAAGAATTTATACGCCAACGTAGCTGGGATGTTCAGAAATTAAATGAAGCATTGCCATACAACATTGTACAACAATTATTGGTAGTTGGCATTGGAGATCAATACAAGGAAGATTATAAAATTTGGGAACCATCAGCTAATGGAAATTTCTCCTAACTCTTCAGCATGGTAGTCCATTAGAAGAAGGAAACCTCGTGACAGGATACTACACATGGTATGGAGTAAAAACATACCCACAAAAATATCCTTTCTGGTATGGAGACTATTTCATAATAAGCTTCCTTTTGATGAGATTGTTTCTAGATTTGGAAAGCAGTTGGTGTCTAGATGTGTATGTTGTGTAGCACCCAAGTGTGAGACAATACAACATGTTTTTGCACAAAGTGAGCCTACCAATTTATTATGGAAACAATTTGGTAATCCTTTGGGAGTAAATGGGCAGGGGAATAATGTTAGAAGTTCAATAGCTCACTGGTGGGGAACTAGGACCAAGAATGGCGTTCACAAGTATTTACTACAGATTACTCCTATATTAATTATTTGGGAAATTTGAAAAAGTAGGTGATCATGCAAATATGGCACCCAAAAGAAATTTGTGTGCAGTAGCATGTTCCATAACATCTACTGGAATATTTCAGCAGCTCCGAGAATTAGTTTCCCCACAAGTGATTTTACATGGTCTTGGTCTAGACTTTGATCTGATGTTGAGAGGATGAAAACTATTCAAAGAAAAATACCAGTCAAATAGAAAAATAAAATTGAATACTGATGGAAGTTTTATAGAAAACGGAGGAAAAGCAGGCACAGGAGGAATTCTGAGGAATGAATTTGGGGACCTCATAATCGCATCTGCAATACCAGTTCAATGCAAAAGCAAAACTTTGGAGAAGCTCTTGCAGCTAGAACTGGTTTGTAGTTGTGTTTACAACTGGGCATTACTAGATTTGAACTTCAGCTAGACTCTATGCTAATTGTGGAAATGCTACAAAAGAAGAGTACAAACAACACCAAATTGCGAGTGATCATAGATGAAGTTATTCACATCTTAGATCAACTCACTGTTGAAATCTCATATTGCTATAGGAAAGCAAATCAAGTGGCCGATGCATTAGCAAAATATGCAGCAAACTCGGATGAAGAGATGATATACCAAGATTACCAGCAGCTACCTGGAAGAGCTAAGGGATCTTTCTAACTTGATAAGTGGCAATTGCCAAGTTTTAGATGTAGATATGAGAAATCAAATTTTTTTATAAGTTAACTGTTTAGAGTAAGGTCTAGGTGGTACTAGGTATAGTATACCATAGACCGTAGGAGTCTTAATTTGGTTATAGGCTCTTTCATCTTTTGTAAGCTTAACTGCATATCTATGAAATACACCCAAGCCATGGGTGGATCCTTAAAAAAAATGGTAAATGACTGAGTTTGGGCCATAGAGCTGGTTTGGTATTGATTTTGAGGTGACGTGTCCGACAGGCCCATATTGGGATAAGTGTTATTTTTTTGCGGCAACGCGTGCACCAGGCCTCACTACTGGGCTAAATGATTATGTTAGTGCTTGGGTAGAATCCGCCCCTCCGGAGTCTGACATGCCAACAGTGGGCGCAGGCATAGTATTTTATATACGTGCTTGATGATGGGCAGTTATGCCAGGCACCCGTACAGTGCTAAAGTGTAAATATTTTTATGGATCCACTGTGATACTGTTGATTGACATGTATACTTCACATGTAGGCATAGAGATGTACTTTCCTCATGGTAACTGATAATTGACCTGCTTTATCTGTGTTGAGATTTAACTATTTTTCTTGAAAGAATGTCTAAGTTTCAAAAATGTGAACAAGCTGAACATGATATCACCGAGCTACTGTTTCTACGATTTATCCTTTATATTCTGAACTGTTACCGATTATTGGTACTGGCATTTGACTATTGTCAGAGCTCGTCACTGCTTTCACCCTAAGGTTAGTGTTGTTACTTATTGAGTACATACGGTTGGTTGTACTCATACTACACTCTGCACTTCGTGTGCAGATCCAAGTATATCTGGTTGAGGTGATTTTCAGACATGAGTTGTTGCCAGCTTTTGGGAGATTACGAGGTAGCTGATATATCGTCTGCAGTCCTTGAAGTTCTCTTTCTGTTATCTCTATCTTTACTGTTATTTTGTTCAGACAGTTGTATTAGAGGGTTTTGCTTGTATCTTGTTATTCAGTAGTGCTCGTGTACTCGCTGACACCAGATTTTGGGGTTGGTTGTAATAGCATTATGGTTTTATTCTCAGATACCTCATGATATTCTTCTGTTGTTGAGTTATTAGACCATGTTATTTTATTTTCATTGTTATCACGTGACTTTTGGGTTTCCTAGAGGTTTGGGTTAGGTATCATCACGACTTGTGGATTTGGGGTCGTGACAGGTCCGCATGAGCGGTGATACCTGGCAAAATATTATATTCGAGGGTTAGCTTTATTTTATCATATTTTAAGATTGGGAGCTCGGATTAGAGAGATTGTTTAGACAATTTTTTCCAACGTGAATTGGATAAGTTTTCTTCACTCGTATTTGATTATTATTCATGATTCTATCTTCGATATTGGCATTTGATTGATGAATCTAAGGAAGAAAATTTGTGGTTTTTGTCTACACTTTAAGAAAGTATATTTTGGGAATTTTAGTATCGATTTGGACTCTGTTTGGATACTAATTGTATATTTGGATTCGGTAGGTTATGGATCATCGGATTTTGGAATTGGTTTCGGATTTCGGGCACGCAGGCCTTGGATGAGTTTGGGAATTTCTTCAAATATCAAAGCTTTATGCATTAGGATCGCTTCCTATGACATTGTTGACTTCCTTGGATGATGTTTGTTGATGACCAATTTTGACCCTTCCTTTTAAAATTAAAATTATTTATGCTTAATAATATGCAATAAATGTGGTAAAATATTTTCTAATTAATAATACCTATTTTTATATAAATATAATAGAAAATAGTAATTAACAATGTTGAATTAATAATTAGGTATTAAATATTTAGGAATTATACGACTCTTACTGTTTAGGAATTATTAAAATGACCTTTATATTTTAATAAGAAATTATTAAAATTATTTTAACAAATTAATCTTTGATTTTAATTACATCGCTTATTACTCTAAATTAATCAAAAATTAGTTTCATAATTTAGTAAAAATGTATTTTAATAGATAATTAATTACAGTAATTTATAATATATTTGAAGATTATATTTTTATCACATTTAATTAGAATTAATTAAGCGTAATTAAGTTAATCTTTAAAGGGGTTAAATGTACAAAGGGCTACAATTGCGATTAACCAATTAAACCAAAGTGGCTATGGCTTAGATTTCATTCTAGCTAATTTGGCCCAAATAACACAGGCCCAATCGCTTGTCTCGGTCCGGAACCACCCCCCTCTATCCACTTTGGCAATCCACGCCAACCCCTGAGGATTAATGGCATCGTTCCATTTCACCCATTCCCCTCACTCATAGAGAAAACACAACGGATCTGGACCATTGATCAAAGTCATCGACATTCCACGATAATTCTTGTTTTTCCCTTTGTTTTAAACCTCGTAAGGGATCCTATCCCAACCATTGGATCACATTGATCCACCGGTCCCCTTTTTTTCCTACTAACTATTTTATCAAATATTATATCTTGAATTATCAGGGCCATTGATCAATTGATCCAACGGCCCAGAATCCATCTCCTACTTTAAACCTTAGAGACTAACAACCTGACCCCTAACCCTAATCATTTAACACTTTGATCGGCCGCCTCCCTTTCCTCTTTGTCACCTTTTTCTCTCAACCCCTGTAACCCCATCAATCCGAAAACCTTGCACAAATTAGTGCAAGGTCACCTCAATCAATCTTAAATCATCTTCTCTATCCATGTTAGCCATGAATCCCACCTTATTCATTCCCCTTTCATCATTAGAATTCAAAAACCCAAATCAAATTCCTAGATGTAAAAGAATGACTCAGGATTTCATCTGTGTTGTCCCCGTTATTTCAAATGCATAGTCGTTTATCTTCGAATCATCATCGTTATTCTTTGTCCAGAGGTCAAATGCAGTGACCTCTAGACATTAGGGTTTGACCACTGGATCGAAGGCTTCAACGGCCATCCCCTCGTGCTTAGGTAAATTCGTAACTCATTTCCCAACTTTCCCTTCTAATTTTACCTGTTTACTATCGTAATCTAACTTATCGTCATCATTCATTATCCGTTCGAACCAATTTGAAACCCTACGTGACTTGAAATGCCACTATAAATAGGGCATTCAATTTCCTCACCTAATAGAGATAAATATACATCGATACACCTAATATCACTACTAAATTGCTTCCGTCAAAATTTGAATTCCATTGTTTCTTTGCTATTTGCTTTTTCTTCTGTGCATTTATCTGTTCGAGTTTAATCTCATGTGAATATGATCGTGGTAAGTTGGATACCTTAGACAACTATTGAATCACTCTTACTTGGTTTGGTGCCCTGCAGAAGGCCAGTCCCTCTTGAGCTCTCTTTCTCTCTCAATTGTGAACTAGTCGTATGATTCTGTGTCTGTAATGATT